CCTTTCATAAACCCATGCTGGGTAGCCCTGATCCCTTGCCTGCCCTGCACTTGCTGTGAGAGCTCTCCCAAGATGATCCTCTCCATGATCTTTCCCGGTACTGAGGTCAGGCTGACAGGCCTATAGTTTCCCAGGTCTTCCTTCCGGCCCTTCTTGTAGATGGCTGTCACATCGGCCACACTCCAGTCATCTGGTACTTCTCCTGTTGACCAGGATTGTTGATAGATAATGGAGAGAGGCTTGGTGAGCTCTCCCGCCAGCTCCCTAAGTACGCTTGGGTGAATTCTATCCAGCCCCATAGACTTATGCGTGTCCACGTGCATAAGCAAATCATTAACTACTTCCTCCTGGATTACAGGGGATTTGTTCTGCTCACCATCCTTATCTTCCAGCCCAGGAGTCTGAATACCCTGGGGGTAGCTGGTCTGACAATTAAAGACAGAGGCAAAGAAGGCATTAATTATCTCAGCCTTCTCCTCGTCCTTGGTCGCAATGTGTCCCCCTGCATCCAGTAAGGGATGGACATTCTCCCTGACTCTCTTTTTGTTCACATATTTATATAAACTTTTTTTTGCTGTCCTTTATATTAATGGCCAGGTTGAGCTCCAGCTGGGCTTCTGCCTTCCTAATTTTTTTCTCTGTATAACCTAACAAGATCTCTGTACTCCTCCTGAGTTGCCTGTCCCCTCATGCAAAGGTGGTAAACCCTCCTTTTTTCCTTAATTCCCATCAAGAGCTCTTTGTTCATCCAGGCCAGCTGTGGGAGAATTCTTAGAAATTAATGGTCATCCTGTGAGCACCCCAAGCTCTGGGCAGCTGTTGTCAAGGGCCTGGACTATTGTCAGAGGCCTATTTCAACAGCTGCCCAGAGCTTGGGGTGCTCACAGGATGACCACTAATTTCTAAGAACTCTCCCACAGCCAGCCATTTTCCCCACTCTTTAATTTTGCGCCTCATGGGGACAGCCTGCTCCTGGGCCTTTAGGATTTCCTTCTTGAAGAACGTCCAGCTTTCCTGGACCCCTTTGCCCCACAGGATTATCTCCCAAGGTACTCTCCCAACCAGCGTTCTGGACAGGCTAAAGTCCACCCTCCAGAAGTCCAAGGGGGAGGTTTTGCTAACCCCCTTCCTTATTTTTTATTACACCACAAAGGCTGAAGTTCTTGAACCAGAATGAACAAACGCAGACCCCACAGTGAAGTTTAGATTTTGTAAAAGATCAACTGAAAATTATAAAACTAGATGTGAATCGTATATACTGCCTACTCTCCACATACCACATTCGGCGAGATCCCAGCTACTTCAGATGTGTTGCATGTATTTAGTAACCTAAGTCAGTATCAAAATACATGAGTGGTGTATTTCTGGATGTGCACACTCAGTCTGTCTTCCCCTCCTGCTTCAGTGGTATCACACCTTTCACAACAGCTGTCTATAAGACACCTCTGAACCCCCATCGTTCCCCTGCCAAATGATCCATTTCCAGCAGGTGACATCCCACCACACAGTGTGCAGAGCCTGTTCAGATGAAGGACAGAGATGATCTGAGCTGAGCAGCGAGTGGTTCCAGCAGCCAGTCTCTGCAGCCTTGGTGAGGCTCACAGCCAGCTCCAGTTCACAGCCTGGGGACCTGGGGAATGTTAGGTGAAATATTCACTCATTCAGGTCCCGTCAGCGAGACTCAGGGGAGGCAGACATCAAGCCCAGAGGCCTTTTGGGGAGCAGTGGGAAAGGGAACAGCTTAGTGTTATAATCAAATGACCACAAGTAAAAAGAAACTATACCAAATTGTTTAGCTACAAACAGTTTTACTATAAATACAAATAGAGCTAGGAAAATTTTAACAGTGAGCAATGAAAAAACACCCATGAAATCCTGACTGGAAAACAACTGTTCTGCCTGTCCCTGGACTAAGGCCTAAGAAATCAAACCAGCAGGGTCAGAACCAAAGAAATACTCCTTCACGTAACGCAGTAAAGCTACAGAACTCCTTACCATGGGCATGTGAATTCATGTGAATTCACATGTGAATTCAACAGCAATTACATAGATTCATAAAAGAAAAATCAGTTGAGAGCTCTTAAATATTCAGATGCCACCTCTATCCAGAGAGGTAAACGCATATAAAGCTATGCCTCTACTCCCAGGCCACAGCACTGGCTCACCCAGGTTGACCTTTGCTGGCCATCAGACACTTGCACAGCCGCTCTTGCTCCAGACAATGCCTCTAGCACAAAGGGACCCCGTGGCTGCTCTCAGACCCACCAGGGAGCTCTCACCCAGGACGGAGCCAGGAAGGAATTTAACAAGGATCAGGACAGGTGGTGCCAACCAGGTATGGGGCATGGCCAGGCAAGACACTGACCAGCCAACCACCTACATGCAACCGACCCTTCTCATCCCCCTACCTCTGTATTTCCACACTAATTTCTCCTCAAATCCTTGTAAATCTTGTAAATGCCTCCTCCGCCTCACTTTTGGTTCTTTGCCTAGACATCCTGCAGTAAGTCCCGTGGGATCCCAAACTGGTTTTCCCTGCAGCCCACGTGTCCCAGAGGTGGGCAACAACCCCTTCAGACTGACAGAGCCACTCTGCGACTCCTGATGGGTCAGGAGGGGACACTGGGCAGAGGCTCTGCTGGCACTGCCCTGGCAGGGGCCTGGACAGGGCGCTCCTTCCTCAGGATCCTTGATTTGGGTTCCACCCTCTGCCCTTGTGCTCCCGTGGGCCTGTGGAGAGGGGCCTGTGATGGGCTGGCTCCAGGGATGGTTTGGGAGCAGCCCCTCAAGTACTGTTTGAGATCCACCTCCTGCCATTGGCTCTCCAAGCTCCCTCAGGGCTGTGCAGAGGAGCTTGATCACGTAATTGGACATTCATGGTGGCACATCGTAAAATATTCCTCATATATGTGGAGGAAGATAAGACTTAAATTTCTTAAACTATGTCTTCCATGTTAAGAAAGCATCAGGATTAAAGATACCCAATTTGGAAGGTCATGTGCAAGTGTTTTGAAATTCTAGGAAAAAACACCAACAATTTACATTTACATAGCCTGTTTATTAATTTCCCATTAGCTATTAACCTCAGAGTCCCCCTGTCAACTCCAACCAAATGTAACAGAGGAGATAAGACACTGGATTCCAACATTTTTTCTTGGAGTTGGTGTCTGGTTACAGAAGAAGCCAAATTAATAAGGGCTACTTCTCACAGAGTCATAATTAATTTCCTTATTCTCTTAAACAACACAAAACACCAAACCAAAACCAGCTGCCCAGTTCGCACTCACAGCTATGAATGAGGCATTTATGCTGCCGTATGGTCCACCAGGCAGGTAGCAGGAGAAGGGACACCAGAGATTTTTTCATAGGAATTCACGTTTTGTTAGCACGTGCTTCCACTACTTGTAACAGTAATAATTTCTCCATTTGGTTTCTTTCTATTTCTTGAATGAATAGCATAGATGATACTATGTAGACTTACAGCCCCTTTCTCCCTCAAATCCCTCTGCTCTAATAGTTAAGCTGCAGCAAGATGCCTTAAATACATTTATACTGAAACTACTGCAGAATCAAAAACTTTTCTCTCACTTCGTTAAAAAAAAAGTCAACTCACTATAAAATAGTGTGAAAAATCACAAGTCTGAATAATGACCTATTTAAAATGTTATTGCTATGTCCAATACTAAAGGATACAGTTTAGATTATACTGCAATTCTGAGCCAACGTCAAGAACTCAAACATACATAGTCAAACAGGAAAAATCAAATGTAACCTCAGGTTCCCCATAAAGAAGCTTTTAAAAAGTTTGCAAAGTAATTAATTTTGTGTTACTAAAACCAACAACAAAAGGTGCCTCAACTATACCATTCAGTAGAACAATATCAGAAGAAGTCTCACATAAAAATACACTACTGAAAACTTTAGACTATGTATTTGCCTTTCCTCATCAGAAAAACGAAGGGCATTTTATTACTTGTACCTCAAAGCCCATTCCCAACAATCTGTAAATGTATCTGACAATCTAGGTACCAAGCCTGCAGGAATCCCTTAGCATCTAGACAAAACTTGAATGTGCCAAAATAATAACTGTTTGCCTGTTAGCTTAAATCACATTGTAGAAAACATTATAATAGACTTGTATTATATACACTGAACCATTGTTCCTGAAATAATTGCATCTCGTAAAAAGCTCCCCTGAAGCCTGAAATACAAACAAATTTAGATAGGACTCAATGATACAAGCGTTATTTTAGAAACCTTTTCTGCTATCAGTTACGTTGTTTTTTAATAAGTCAGCAAGACAGCAGAAGGGTGACAGGAAGAAATGGAAGCCTTAACTTTCTTTGACACCTTCAGCAACTTTTGTCATTTTGAAACATGGAGGGTGTGCACTCTCTGCTCTGAGAGTGTTTTCAGACTGAACATATGGAGGAATTTTAGTTAACGTTAAAATTATTTCTGGATTTGCCCCATACAACTAAAGCAGACTGCAGCGTCACATCACTCTTATGTTATATACAACAATACAGTGAGTGCCAACCGTGAACGGCATTTTCTTTGTGTGTCTGGCAAGTACCTGCAACTAGTGACTTGCCTGACCCACAGCAGAGCCTACAGCATCTCACTTCCTTGGTCAGGTTTTACATGTAGCTCAGCTCACACAGTTTATCTCCCCATTGTCCAGGAGGATGAGTTACAATTTGTCTAAGAAACAGAAAGGATAAACTGCACTGCAAACGCTTCCAGAGAAGAGCAAGAGATTAGCATATGGCTCAGTATTTTCTCATCAGCCAAAAGGTACCGCAAATAGATCGTCCAACCCACAGTAGCACCATTAACAACCAGTCACAGCACAGCCAGCTGCAAAGAGCATCTTTGACAGGAGCAACAAAAGCTTCCTAAAAAGAGGCTAGATTTTTCTTAGACATTCTCAGTTATCTGAAGAAACGGACACTACCTGTGCGGAGGCTGTCTTCACACTTCTTGATGTTTCCACTCACCTCCTTCCAGCCCTGTGACGCTTCTCTCGGTCTCCAGACCCTGCAGCACCCTGTGACACTTTAGAGGAAGACATACAGGAGAAGACCGGAATATGACACTCCTGCATTTTGATGTGCCATCTCAGCCTGTCACCAGAGGGGTTGTTTTTTTGTTGTAATTCCACTGTTTAACACATCTGTACCGCTGTATGTCCTGAACAGGCCAAACGCTCTTTCCTGTAATTCCTGGCTCACCCTTTCATTGTTTTGGCTTCAAGGTCAGGACCACAGCTTTCTCAGGTGGCAGTCTCTCTCCCAAAAACGTTGACCTATGCTTTCCTGGTCAACTTGCAAAAGCACAGTGTTTTCTAGGAATCAATAAGAAACAGGAAAAGATGATCACAGATTCTATTATTGATCTTAGAAAGCTAAAAAACTATCTAGATATTAAAAAACAGCTGTTCCCAAGAGCACCCCAGGTTTTCAGTCATTGCACAGTGAAACACCTGAAGAAAGCTGTTTGGGCAATACCAGTATTTGATTTATTTACAAAGGTAAAAGCAGAGAATGCAGCTACACAGAACTGGCAGTAAAGCCATTTAAGGGCATGGGAAGACAAACTGCCATCAACAAGGACTGATCTGAACTCAGGTTACCAGTTCAGAAATCCTCTCCTGAGGTACATGGTACCATGGCAGTCTCTGTCACTGCCACCATCCTCTCACAATAACACCCAGCACTGCAAAGGAAACTCAGTTGTCAGCCTCTCCAGTCTACCATCACCCCCAGTTCATGAATCCAACCAGAAACACCACACAGAACCAACGATCTGCAGGCAAGGATCCCACAGGAAAGGGCAGCCACAGACGGCTGGATGTCTTCTGGCTCTGCATGACAATCATTTCTAAATCTATCTCTTCAACTTCATTATTTATCAGAGGTTCAGGAATTTTAAATAACCCTATCCGACCACCTTGCTTGGTGATTCCTTTGCCTAAGCTTTTAACCCAAATGAAACTAGGGTTAACTGCATAATGAATAAATTTACCTTTGACCAGGAATGGTTTAGAGTGAAGAAACAAACAGTGGTTTGCCACCACCACAATGGACTTATTAGTATTAAACATCTTCAGCCTAAGCAAATAATACATCCACGTAGCTGATTCAACAGATGACTACTGCACTTCAAATGAGAACTGCTGAATTGTCCACTTCTGATGCTAACAAACTTGTTTCAAAAACTCATCTTTTAACATTATCATTTCACCCAGAACCATTCACTCAGAAGGGAAAAAAATCTACATGGATGCACTACACAGCTCTGTCTATTCTGGAATTGTGGTGGTTCACCAGACACCCACCCTGCCGCCCTCTCACTGCTGCTACTCAGCAAGATGGGGGGAAGAGAGTCAGAGGAAAAGCTTGTGGGTTGATGAGATAAGGATAGGGAGATCTTTCACCAGATATCATCTGAAACACTTGACTTGGGGAAGATTAATTTAACTTATTGCAAATAAATATCAGAGTAGGATAGAAAGAAAGAAAATCAAAACTACAAACACCTCCCTCCCAGCACTTCCTCCTAGGCTCAACTTCACTCCCAACTCTTCTACCTCCTCCCTGAGGAGCACAGGGGGACAGGCAACAGGGGTTGCAGTCAGTTCCATCATACCACTCCTCCCTCCTCACACTCTTCGCCTGCTCTAGCATAGGGTCAGTCCTTCACAAACCTCTCTAGTGTGGCTTCTTTCCACAGGGTACAGGTTCTTTCAGGAACTGACTACTTCAGTGTGGATCCCCCACGGGGCCACATGTCCTGTCAGAAGACCTGCTCCAGTGCAGGCTCTCCATAGGCTGCAGCTTCCTCCAGGGTACACCCACCTGCTCCACTGTGGACCTCCATGGGCTTCAGGTGGACAACTTGCCTCACCACACTCCTCTCCACGGGCTGCAGGAGAATCTCTGCTTTGGTGGCTGGACCCCCTCTTCCCTCTCCTTCTTCACTGTCCTTGTTGTCTGCAGGGCTGATTCTCTCACATTTTCTCACTCCTCTCTCCCAGCTCCTGTTGCGCAACATTTTCTACTCTTCCTTAAATATGTTATCACAGAGGCACTACGGCCATCGCTGACTGGCTCAGCTTTGGCGAGTGGCAGGTCCATCTTGGAGCCAGATGGAGCAGGCTCCATCCGATACGGGGCAGCTTCTTGCATCTTCTCACGGAAGCCACCCCTGCAGCCCCTTGCTACCAAAACCTTGCCATGGAGCCCAACATGAGCATGCACTAATGCAGAATTAAAAAGAACACGTTGTCCTAATCACATTTTAAAAGTCACACTAGAGGTTAACAATTTACAGGATTTGAGTGCATTATGCTGAATTAACTAAACTCCTTCTTGAAAATTTTTGGAAGGTGGAAGAAGAAATTAAGCAGCTTTTCTCAGTTCAAAATATAACCTCCTTCTCTGTTTTCCCACAGATACCACTCCAGGTCTAACTTTTTTTTTTATAACAGATGGGTTTCCAGCAGAGCACAACATGGTTACCAGCTTGACCATATCAGCCTTCGTTAGCACGACCATGAGAAAACTGACAGCTAGTGAAGTCACTGCCACAGAGATAACACACACCTCCAAAGAAGCAAGTGGTGTGCACACAACTTTTGTACACCAATGGTATGTGCAACACCTCTACACTTGCATGCTGTCCTCCACGTGACGAACTGTGATTCAATAACTACAGCAAGTACAAGAAAGTAAAGCCTAGTTTATAACAAGTCATCTGAAGATATGTTTCTTTGAAGATTCTAGAGCATTAACTGACAGATAAGAAAGGCTGTTGTTCCTGTGCTCACTCCTGAACGCGCTGAAAGGCACTGTCCTGAAGAATGGAGTTGTACCTTTTTTCTTTTTACATCACCTGGAATATCCAAGTTTCATGTCCCTCTCAAGACTCAGGACACCATCTACATCCCACCCTTGCATCGTCACCAGTTAAAAACACATCTGTACCTTAGGCAAAGGTCATGTACACACAACAGAAGGGCCCTCCGGAGGTCCGTTGCCGAGCGCCGCGCCTCAGGCCCGCCGCGCAGCTCCGTCTGTCCCACCAGGCCCGGCCCAAGCGACAGCTCCGATCGCCCAGAGCTCGGCAGGGCCGCACGGCCGCCGCGGGGACTCCGCGCCCTCCGCCGTGACCCGCCGCCGCCAGGCCACGAGAACTGAGCTGGGGCTACGGGAGGCCCCGCGGGGCCCCTTTGCTCT